TGATTTCGTTTCTATTTCGGAATTTAACAAAAAGTATCATAGTATTTATTCAGACTGACACTCGTAATTGATTGATTGATTTATTTTTACAGCTTATCAAACCTTTGTGACTTATTTATAACCGAAACATATTTTGGATTTTAAGAATATTTTTTTGCGAGTGAACATTGCATTAAGAATTTCTTTTTTTTTTTAGAATAACCATGATTTTGCCACAACTCGGGAGATAGGGAAGGGAGATTCATACCTTCCCCAAGGTTATTTGCGCGAAAGTTAATGTAACGAACCCGACTGGAATTCGAACATGGCTCTTTGATTTCTCATTCCGAGCTTCTATCTACTATCACACACATATCCATGACTCTCTTTGGTTTGAAATATAAAAAGCTTCATATCTTTTGGAGCTACAGTACAATAATGTGTTCAGAGTTCACCGGACAACCAATAGCTGATTAAAAATAGGGTTTTTGTCTGTGTTTCGATTTATCGATCTCTATTTCCGTAATTCTCAGTCTGTGTAAAGATGGTCGCCGTCAACTGGATCGATATATCGATTAAATCTATTGATTGTCATCTAAACATATTAAAGATTCGTTTGTAGGCAACAGTGTTATGATCTTCACATTTACAGGTTTTCACTTGACAACTTATACGTATAAATAAAAAATATTATAGATATACCGTTTTAAAAAGGGACCATCTACTCACAGTTGCATACACTAAATATAACATATAGTTATAAGATATATCGATATATAATTTTTTATATATCAAGAACAATATTGGGGAAAATGTATGACAAAGTGGGAAAAAGTTTCCTAAAGGACGAAACACGTCATACGAAAACTTTTTCCATACATATATATATATATATATATATATATATATATATATATATATAACGTAATTATGAACACTAAGGGTATGTCTCAATCCTCATAAATACGTTGGACACATACGTGTGTGTGTGTGTTGGGGGTGGGTAATATGCTGTCTAAGTAGTCCACCACGAACAGTAGTTTATCTACTTCACGCCGCTGGAGAGTATTGTAATTTCTTGATTATATTTAATATATATAAGATTACCATTTCGTTTCCAACCTCCGTTTTGGTTATTCCTCATTCGGTAACCCTTCTTAGGTTACACACACACACACACACACACACACACACATATATATATATATATATATATATATATATATATATATATATATATATAGATATAGATATAATTGTATTTGGGCAGACATCCCTCTTTTATACAAGTTTCATTAAAGATGACTGACAAGGTGCTGCGATTAATCTTTTTACTAAATTTTTCTTGTGTTCTTATAAGTCCTTTTCTTTTCTGGACATAAAGTGTGTAAAAACTGTTCGAATGTTCTATATAGCTGAGCTCTTTCGATTACTTTACCAGGGTGTATTTTTTTTTATTTTTAACTGAACGTGTAAATTTTTGTTTCGAGAGTGATAAAAATGTTGTTATTTTATTTTCCAAACACGGTCAGCACGTTGTGGCCGTGTTCATAGTTTATGTTGTTGAGTTGTTGGATTTTTAAAACAATTATCAGTGCTTCCATTACTTTTAGTCTTTTTTACATATGGAGGATACTATTATATGTGTTTACTACAAATATGTTGCGGATGGAGTTTGGTAGGTTCTCGTGTGTGTTTAAATAAGTCCGAATTAAACTATGGTCAGAGAGATGTAACGTGAGTCTTCTCGATAGACATGTAGTATGACCAATATACATATTAAGGAATGTGGTTTGATCAGGAACGCAGTTCCTTAAAGGACATGGGAATTCATAAATGATATTCGTTCTCTGTAATTTTGCTCTTGCAGGAGAGTTGCTAAGGTTGACTATAAGTTTAGCTGTTTTAAATTTTAAACAACAGCAACTCACCTTCAAAATCAGAATTACAGAGAACCCATATCATTAATGAATTTACGTGTCCTATAAGAAACTGCGTTCCTAATCAAACCACATTCATGAATAATTATACTGGACATACCTCTCAGTAGTCGCTTGCATTTTAGTGATAAAAATGTAGTTTTAAGGTATGCTATATTTATGATCTAAAGTGCTTGATATCAGGGATAAAGAGTATGCAAATATGGATAACATTGCATGCATTAAACAGTCTGTCGCTGCTTGGTGTTGGCCTCTATGTCCACGTATATATATATATATATATATATATATATATATATATATATATATATATGACAACGAATAGGATCCAATTCCGACGTAAATGAGGGCTCAATACAAAAGTAGAGCAATTAACATTCAATTTAAAAGAGGGATCAATACTTTTGTATTAAGACCTCTTAAATCTTGTGTAACCTTTTTTTTTACATGCTTCGATGTAATATCCTAAAATAAAGTATATAAGCACCCACCGTACATAATAATGAAGAACTGATTAATGAGTCGTTTTAAGTAGCCAACTTTCTCAACGTTACTGGCATTTGTGACGTTTATAATGGAACACAAAATCATCATTTCTTTCTTTGCGTTTTTCTGGAGAATGTTTTGATATCTGCACATTTTTCCTTGTGAAAACAGAATGCTCACACAGAAGGATGCAATCCGAGCATGTACACAATGGAGTAATGAGAAACCTCTTGATTTCACGCTGAAAATGATTCATTAGACAATCACACTGTAAAGTATACCTAAAGAAAACATGATTTTGGGTCGCAGTTTTGGAGACGATGTTTTATAAACACACACAAACTGACATATCTGACAGTTTCATACAACGTGCATTATTATTTACCACACATAACTGATTCTAATAAAAAAAAACACATTCGTGTGAAATTTCTTGATAATCAAAGTGAATCAAAGTCGGTCAGTATATACCAGATAATTGACAATATATTACATCTACACCACCGCTAATTGATGGTCAGGCATATCATTTAGTCCTGATAAAATTAGGAGGAAGAATTTAAATTTTACGCAAATGCCGCAGTAGATCAGTTATTTGCATTTAATGGTCGTTTCATAGAAGTTTCTACAGTCGACACTGATGCAGAGATTAGAGGAATATATAAGTAGTGGATCATAAGTTTATTATTGAATTGTTATTACGTGGATTCTGTTGGTCCAACAAAACGGATCACCCAGCACGGTACTGGAAAATCGTTAATATTATTCTTCTGTGTACCTTCTGGATATTGCCGATCATGGCTCTCCACAACTTCCTGTCCTTTGTAGCTCTTAATAGATTTTGTATTTTTGTTATCCCTTCTGAACCCTGCTCTGCCATACATTTACTCAAAGCACGCTAGGAAGGTTATGCCTTGGTTTCCTCTGCCCCTTTGGTCTTCAATATGTCCTGTGAGTATTAAATTTTCCAATGCCTCTTTCCTTACTATGAGCGTAAAAATTTCAACTATTTCTGATGTTAAGTATTAATTTCCATTTTTTCTAAAACTCCGATGTTGCTCAAAAGTTCAGTCCATGATATTCTCAGCGTCTTTCTGTAGTACAATATTTCTGTTGCTTTAAGATTCTTCTTCATCTATGAGGAGATTTTCCAGCATCCACTGCATTATAGGAGTATTATTATTATGTACTCTTCAGTTCAGTACTCTTTACTATGTTTTTAACAAAATGCTCCTGTTTCTTCATACTTTGCGGCCTTATGGTCATATCGCGTTAAAACTATCGATCACCGTAGTTAAGCAACGTCGAGCCTGGTCACTACCTAGATGGGTGACTGCTTGTTAAAACCAGTTGCTGAAAGCTTTGATGTACGGGAGGTATAATGGATAATACTTCGGAATTGTTAATCGGAGAGCTGAGTCCCAATTCCTGTTGGGTTCTTTATATTCACTTTCGCGCAAATACCCTTGGTAAAAGAATAAATCCACCTCTTCTCCCCAGCTATGGGCTAATTAGTAAGACTTGTATCACTAAATCATTATTATCTCCAAAAAGAAAAAAAAAATTACAATCCCAAAATATATTCTGGCTTTAAATAATCTGGGTTGATAAGCTGTAGAAAACGAATTAATCAAATTAATACTTTGCTTAGTTTTTGGAAGGCATCTTTCACTATACCAATGTGCCTCGGATTTCTGTGTCGCACTTTCAGTTCACTGTTAAAACACTTCTCAGATATTTAAATTGTTGTAGTTGTTTGATTTTGGTAACTCCAATTTGTAATTTGCATGTTGGACTGTTCCTTTTGCAGACATCCATGCATTCTGTCATCGTTAATATGCCTACATAATACAAGAGCCTATCCGTCTCGAAGACGGCCTCAGAGCAGCCTCGGAAGCTATTGCATGCTCGAATTTAATTATTTGAATTAATAATTTGAATCTGACACTCACATACGCAATAACTGCCATAAACGAGTCCTTGGTATTGTGGGGTTGCTAATTAGTCTCTCTCTCAACGTCGTCACAGACGTAGTAGTCCAGGGGTTTCAAATCCCCAGAGATAGGTGATGACAACATATTGTGGGTGGCATGATTTCTCAATAAGCCACTCCTGGGTTATGTGGGTCAAAGTCCGTCTCGAACACATCCGAGCATTTCCTCGTGTCTAGAAACTAGAAGCATAGACTAGCATAGATCCCGAGGCACTTCATCAAAAAAGATGAATAACATGACATTGCTTACGATCTTCAGAACCATCAAAGATGACGGAGATAAGATATGAAACACTGTGGTTACCTCTGTGAGCTCTTCGCAGAGCCATTTATCGTCCTTCTTGTGTGCTTGGACAAATTCAAAAAGCTTGCTATCTCCGAGTCGTTGTGGTTAGTGACTACTGTCAAGAGTATGGCACGCCCTTTCATTTCCTCTGTCAGATTAGAACCGGCCATATTAATACTCTCGATATGCCTGAAAGTCAAATTCCAATGTTAGAATTTTGCAACTGCCGCGTAACATTACGCTAGGTCGTCTTCCATTTATGGCATGCTAAATCAGTGCTCTTAAATACTTGGTGCTTCTCGTATAAATATTATCTATGTATCTTTCTTTCCCTGTTTTTCCCCCTCTGTCTGTCTTTCTTTCTGTCTGTCAGTCCGTCTGTCTCTCCCTCTGTCTGTCTGTCTGTCTTTCCTTCCCACTGTTTATCTATCTGTGTCTTCCTCTGTTTGTCTTTCTCTCTGTCTGTCTTTCCTTCCCTCTTTCCCTCTCCGTCTTTCTGTCTTTCCCTTTGTTTTTCATTGTCCATCTTTCCCTTTCTGTCCATCGACTTTTTCCCTCTGTCCATCTCTCTTTCCTTTTGTCTTTCTCTCTTACTATTTTTCATTGCCTTTTCCGCTGTCAGTCCGTTGTCTTTTCCCTCTGTCTTTTTGCTCTGTTTGTCTTTCGCTCTGCTTGTCTGTCCGTCAATCCGTCTTTCCCCCTGTTTATCTGTTTATCTATCCGTTTGTCTTCTCCACCCCTTTGTCTAGCCGTTTGTCTTTCCCTCTCCTCCTCTTTCACTCTCTGTCTCTTTATTTTGGTATCTGAATATCATTGTGTTTCTGTCATTCTCTAATTAATTATAACAGCTTATGTCATTCCACTGAGATCCACAAACGAATATTATTTCTTGTAGACTATATAAAGGTGTCGTCTGTGGTGTGCAATAGGAAGGAGCCGAAATGTTGTACCAATATGAGGTGTGCCAAATAAAAGCGGCAAAATTTACTTTAGTTGTCATTGCTAGTAATACATCAAGAATTTAATTAATTATTAAGCATAGGAAACAGCGAAAAAAGAACCCAAATAAATCATTTCTTTGTTCGCACAATGTTTCTTCGCTGCTTATTTCATGTGCGAAAAATAAACATTCTTATCTAATCGTATTTGTCCTTTTTTCTCTTATGACCAACCTGGACTGGATCTGGATGGTAATTCATGCCTCTTTTGAAATCTGACTCATGCTTTTTTCATTTTTTTTTTTCATCCTTTGTTTCTCACTTGGTAAACTGAACACGCCTAATAATGATCCTGTGTGACTGGAACCTGCAGTCATCGATTTTATTTTATTTTTGTTTTTTAACGCTATTCTCTTAAGGACGTCGGGGATCATCTCTTTCAGGAGATTCCTTTTATTCTTCTATTTTTGAATTGCTATGCATTTTTTGGAAATATAGTGTAGTGGTTTCCCATTGCCTTCTCCATGGTTTGGAATAAGAGTTTTTCTGAATAGTTGTCAATCAAAGCTGTATGGCCCAGTTTATCCTACTATTTAGTTCATAGATGGGGCGATGAAGGAGAATAGATGATTCATATCTTTCTCAAGGGCCTTTGTGGGAAAGTGATCGCAAAAAATTGCCTGGAATTTGAACTCGACACGCCGATTCCACTTAACGCAGAGATATGTTACGCATAAGAAATGTAATATTTATTGGAGAAAATTGCTCAATATAAGATATAGATCGTTTATAGATATAAACAGTGTGGACATAGGAATAAAGACGGAATAGTAACTAAGTTTCACGCTCTAATGCGATCTTCTGAGTAAGGTTGCATTGAGCCGTGAAACAGATTATCGCTATGCAGTGTTAAGTACTATGTTCACTCCAGTTATCTGTACATCTCTCTCCCCTTTCTTATATATATATATATATATATATATATATATATATATATATATATATATATATGTATATAAATGAGTGAGATGCAAAAAAATTTTTAATCGTATCAATCCCATGCAAGGCAGTAAAGCCACATTATTAAGAAACATTATTAAAGAGCGAGAACAATAAAAAAAAATTAATGAAGAAGACAGTAAATAACGATTGGCATTGCATTTAAATTTTTGAATTTGAAACACTATAGGACATGTTCACGACTCTTTTTAATACTAAGACAATGCATTCGCTTTCACCTCTGCAAGTTTTAGAATTATAAAATGAACTACAACAGTACGCCTATTTATACCCGCCATTTTTTGTTGTAATTGCAAAGACATATTGTAAAAGAAGGATAAATAATCGCGAGGGAATGTTCATTCGGTCGTTCCTATTTTGGTAATAGAAAATCATCATGAAAATAATCGGTGATGATATATTCCAAAAGCTAAACAGACTACTAAGAAATAGAGACTTCGCTAGAAACAAGGAAAATAGTACTAAACTGTTACATGATATCTGTCCCCTGTATGGCAGTGAGTGCTGGATAATCTCCTCAAAGATTAAGAAGAGATGTGAAGCAACAAAAATGTGGTTCTACGGAAGGATGCTGAGGATACCCTGAACCGAACATGTGAGCAACAACGAAGTTTTAGAGAAAGTGGAAACAAAAAGGAAACTTATACTTAACATCAGGAAAGACAGTTGAGAATTCTACGGCACATAATGAGAAAAGAGGGCTTAGAAAATCTGATACTCACAGGACATATTGAAGGCAAAACAGACAGAGGAAAACAATGAATAAAAGTGATCTGGAGTAAATGGCTGGCGGAACAGGGATTAGGAGAAATAACAGAAAAACCAAATTTATTAGAATCTACAAATGACAGGAAGTTGTCGAGAGCCATGATCGCCTACGTCCTGATGAGACACGTCACATAAAGAATAAGATGGATATCAAAAACTGTCATATAGTCGCAAACTGTACAGTTTATCAATGCACTCATTTATAAAAACCTTGTTTGATTTCTTCATTGGCTTGCTAAGTCCAGACTGGAGACTTTAGCTGAGAAACACATCCACTCACCGATCATAAATTTGGGGCCTCTTCAAGAATAAGACAATTTAAATCCTTCAATTTTGGTTGTATAAAATCATCCATTCATGCCTTTTAAACGTGTAGATTCTTATTATATATTTTTGAAAATGCCGTGTCCCTTCAGTACCTAGGCGACCATGACTTACTACAGATTTATTTCTGTTATTATTTGTGTATTGTCATACCTATATGGCAAAGATTGAGTGGTTTACCGTCGTTTTCTTCTCGGTTTGCAATCCACAGTTTTAAACTGGTTATTATCAAAGCTGGTGAGCCTACTTTACAATGCTGTGTAATATATAGCTGGGGTTTATTATATTTGTTTATACAAAAAATATATTGGTATATACAAAAGATTTCATCTTTCTTTTTAGTTAAATAAAAACTGATCTTTCTACTGTGCATTAAAATTTTCCAAAAAGAAAATACTGGAAATTTTTTCACACTCGTAATAATTAGCTGAGCTGTATTTGTAAGTCATCCACGGATAATCGAACTAACTTTCAAAGAATTGAAAGATTAACTAGCAAAGCTTGGAGCTAAGGTGTTAATGAGAAGCCATTTTTTTTTAAACTGTCGATATTACTGTTACAGTATATGAATGATATCAAATCGTTAATTCACTCGAATAAATTCAAAGAGTGATGTAAACCTGGCGAAAAATTAAGTGGGAATGGCCGATTGGACTCTCAATGATGCTTCTTACTATGATTTTCTACTAGGACTTTAGGTCAACCCAGATCTCAAGTGGAACTCGTATATACAATCCACTGCTAAAGATGCTAGAGAAATGGTCGGTTTTATATGCCGCCCAGACAGTACTTGACTCATCCCATCGTGTTCTATCATACCAAAAATAGAGTATTGCTGCCATATCTGGGGTTAAGAGAATTTAGCATGTAATGTAATTTAATTTAGAATATTAGAATTCCTACAATTTTTGTCTTTAATTACGTCGCATCTTCAACGGAGCGTGGGGGAATTATAGTAGTATCGTTTTTTTCCTCTTTCAAAATAGATGTGCCTCATTTGCACCCAAATGTTGTTACTAATATTGATTTTCGGGTGGGCTGACTAAACTTAAACTGCACCAATTGAGCGACAAAAATTCCCAGTAATGAAAGACCCAGTCAAAGACGGGATATACTGCTAGTAATGTAATGATTTATAATGTTTGTTTTATATTCAGAATTATTACTGTTACAAAATAGCAACCCCGTTTACTTTCCTTTACCCCCAAATGATACATGATATAGTGCAGAAAATGTCTTTATTTGAATATAACTTATTTTTATTATAAAATACATTTGCAAAAGCAATCATTTATGAAATAAATACCAGTCATGACATTTATATCTCAAAGAGAGATAAAAAAAAAACTTTTTAATTTGATTTTTTTTTAACTGAATATTCAGATTCATCTATGTTCCGTGTCACTTCAATACGTCTACGATCATGTCTCTCCACAGTTTCCCGTTCTTTGTAGCCTTTAGTAAGTGTTTATATATCTCCTAATCCTTGTTCTATGGAGTATTAAATTTTCTAAGTCTTATTTCCTCGTTATGTGCCGTAGAAATTTCAACTGTTTTTTTGTTTCCATTTTCCCTAAAACTTCCTCATTACTCTCATGTTCAATTAATGTTTTTCTCAGCATCCTTTTGTAGAAGCACATTTCTGTTGCTTTAAGTTTCTCCTTCATCTATGAAGAGATTGTCCAGCATTCAATACCATATAGGAGGACCGTTATTACATAACATTTCAGTAATCTTTTCTTTGTTTCAAATGACGTTTTCCTGTTTCTTAATACATTGCTTAGATTTTGGAAAACCCCTTTCGCTATCATAATATACCTTCGGATTTTGGTGTCGCGTTAACTGTCCTATGTTAAAACACTTCCTAGATATTTCAATTTTTGAACTTGCTTGATTTTGATGCCTACAATTCGTAGTTTGCATATTGGGCTGTTCTTTTGGGCTGAAAACCATACATTCTTCCTTACGATTAATAAAGTGTTTTCCAATAACTTGGACCGATTTTAATGTGAATTAAGTTTAAGCGTCTAATAGTTTTTTTCTTTTTCTTTCAGATTTGACGGATATTTGGGCGATATTATTTTTCACGCATAATTTCCATGACTTAAATAACATGATCCAATAAAGAAATAAATGAATTTTCACCAATAACCCTGATTTATTTACTTCTGACTTTGATCCGTCTTAATGAAACACTCTTACATATAATCCGTTTTAATGAAGCACCCTTTATTTAATTCTTTCTTCTCGCGTTTCTTTACTATTTACTGTAAGAGTCCCTGTAGTTTAACTTATGTCTGCTATCCTCATATATGTAGTTTAATTTATGTCTGCTATCATCATATATGTAGTTTAATTTATGTCTGCTATCATCATATATTTATCTCTATTAAGTAAAAACTGCGAAGTTGGGCAAGATAGAAGATAGAAAAATATGCTGGTTAATTTCAATGATAAAACTGTATATGTTTAATGTCATAATGATATGTAATATTTGCAACCGTTTTTGTATATATTTGATTATTTTTTGAAATAGCAGGAAAACACGTAGATTTAGAGATACATAAAAAAATGAAGTTCAAAATCAATGAAAAACCCGTAACATTATGAATACGTATACGTAGACGTGAAACTAAATGTTTTTAACTCATATGTTTATACGAAATGTACATATGCTATCTCATGCCTTAAAGAGCATTCTCTGAAATATAAAAAGAAGGAACGTTGCCTGCGAAATTTACACTTTGCTGCAAAATACAGAACGTATCCACAGATATTAATCGAAATTCTATGACATAAGCGAAGTTCTTTAGACTACGAAGTATACACTTTGCTACAAAAGCACCTCCACACATAATAAGCGAGAAGTGTATCGCTCTCCGCGATATACTGGCGTACAAACCTCTAAATATGAACAGAAACGTGTCTAAGTACATACATGTAATACGTTTCACCTGTACGTTCACCTAATAGTGCCTGTATCAACCTCTTCTATTTTCAACCCTGGGTTAAACAGTAGGGTAGACTGGACTTTTTAGCCTTGGTAAGGCAGCCGATGTAAGAGGAAGGATTACTTTGTACTAAAACCCATGGCGAGGGAGAAACGGAAACTATTGTCTGTCCAAAGAAGTCATGGCAATTTACAGCTAAAGAAAAAGAATATGCGGCGAGTCATGATCACATATGTATTGAAGAGATATAGATTTTAAAAAATACATTAAATAAAATATCCATCTCTAAATATATGTTCATTGGATTTTCTATATATCAAATGGGCTTTGGATTTAGTATAGAGGTTTGTAATTTTTTTGCAGGTTTATGACATTTCTCGGGGATTTTTTTTTAATGGATAATCCTAATCTCACCACCAATTAACGTGCGACAAGTTGTAATTGGTTACATGGTGCCAAAATATCTGGGCTCTCGAGACAGACGGATTCAAACCATTCACAAGAGCATTAGTGCAAAATGAAGACAAACTTAAGAATTTGAACTCCCTTCAACGGTACCATTTTCTGTATAGGCCAACTTCACTTGCCGTTTTTTTCTCTGTCTCTTAATATATATTATCTTTGATAGATAACTTGAAGCGAGCTTGTTGTAACGAGAGAGTTGACCTTTTGATATTATGAACGAGTCTCCTGATCGAATAAAATAGTTGACACTTTTACATAATTGTTTTTATCATTGGTTGCAAAAATTCGTCAGTGTGATTCTAAAAGGGCGTATGTATTTTTGCATGTCTATCCATATTTGAAATGAAAAAAATGATCTTTACGATTGACACAAAAGCATTTTCGTGAAGTAAGGCACAAATTTAAATTTTATGTATTTTATATTTTATATTTAGATAATTAATATCAAAATTAAGTAAGATTATATTTAAAAAAATCATAATTAATAAAAAAAATGGTTAAAGAATAAAAGATATTTAAAAATAAAATAAAATATACATTAGAAAAACAATTAACTTATATTAGTAGGAACCACGTGGATTATATGCCAACAGATTTATTACCTTTACTATATATAGTTTTTATTTTGAATTTTTATCTTTTAACATGTTCTTTCTCAATTCATAAAAATTGCACTGCAATATAGAATCATACAGACAAATAGAGATGTTGGTTTTGTAATATAATCCAGGAAACAGATTTCTAATTTCAGAAAGTTGCTTGTAAGTAGGTGCATACAAAGACAATTATAAGAAAATGCCTGGCATACATAATTGTGTGTGCGTGGAAGTGTCAAGACAGTAAAAATGGCAAGAGAAAAACTGGTGGAGGTCAAATGAGGCACTGGCGTTCAAATAAGTTGTCTTTGAACAGTTTGATTTCAACCATGTTCTTGAGGACTCAATTTAAACAGATGCTCACACACACACACACACACACACACACACACACACACACACACACACACACACACACACACACACATACGCGCGCGCGCGCGTTTACAAGGGATGCTAAAATACAGAAAAATATAGAGAAGATGATAACACTGTTGAATAGGGCAATTTTTCAACAAAAAATTATTTTCTACACGTAGTCACTGCAAATAGCTATGCATTTTTGCCAGCGATGAACAAGAGTGCATAAATTGTCTGGATAAATTTGCACCATCGGAGGCGACTCACTTTTGCACAAATGTAGCTTATGCCGCTATCCCTTAACTGCGTTCAAATCCATTGTTTGGTCTCTGTAAAAATTCAGCAAGCATCGATGAATGTTAGTCGGTAAAATTTCCCAAAATGGCGGAATTCTAAGACGCATCTATTTTATGCACGCTTTCATGTCAGATGCCATGTTTACCAGACATCTCAGTTGCATTCCGCAAGAAGACATAACAAATTTGGTTCACTGGTGGGAAGGTTCGACTTTTGCTGACAACATGGGCTATTGTAATAAAATAGAAGAACTTATTTACGGAGCGATCCATCTGCAGGTTCACCGGTTTGAATCACATACCAAAATAACCAGTACACGTTTAATCAAGACCAGTACAGAGATTAAGAAATGTCTGATTTTCACAAGCGTCAATTAAAAAGGACGTTATTAACTGAATGATAAAATTATTTTTGTAATTAATGAAGAAATCAGTTGACTGTAATAGTTTAATCTTCATTATCGACACAAAAATTTCTATGATTCATTAACTTACATGAGAAACTGATTGATTTATTTTCTATGGCTTATCAACCCTTTGAAGGTTATTTAAAGCAAGAAAATATTTTAGATTGTAAGATATTTTTGAGATAATAAAGATTTAGTGATACTAATTTTACTAATTAAACCCTCGCTGAATGAGGGTAGAAGAGGCAGATTCATACCTTTCTCAAGTGTACTGCGTGTAACTGAATATAACGAACCCAACTAAAATTGAAACCCGACTCTCAGATTAACAATTCCGAGCCATTTTCCATTATATCACCTGCCTATCCAACCTTACAGCACCTGGTATTACCAAGCGGCCACCCATCAAGGTATTGACCAGACTCATCTTTGCTTAACTTATCGTATGGGAACCGGTGTTTCAGCGTGATATGGTTGTAAGCTACAAGAGAATTGCAGTTATGGAAACTAAATGCAGACACACCATCGATTTTCCGGTAATGAGTTACATTATGATATCACCTCCTTTAATCCGGATAGCTGTGAACATTCATTTGAATTTCACATGATAGCAAGATTAATTCATCGGGTAGCCACAGCTGGCGTTAAACTTGATAATAGTTTAATATGTTTCTAACAGTCGATGATGTTGTTGAGATACGAGAGATTAATAATTAGTTGGTCAGAGTTGTAATATTGCGTTGTTATTACATGATTTCTTGATCCGGTATGGTTCTTGAACCAAGTGTGCCGGAAAATCGATAGTGTACATTTTAAAGAATTTAAGAGGACTGCTGTTAGGTTTTGACTTGTGGCATGTTGGACACACGTCCAAGAGTTCTGAGTTATTTGAAGAGCATTATTCTGTCTCATTCTATCGCCCTTTCTACTACATATCTAATAACAGTTGAATATCTGAACCAATCAGTTATAATCTTAAGTTTATCCTGATTTATGAATAAGAAAACTATCATGCCAAGAATGACACATTCTTAATTGTTATCTCCTTGTACGTTTCAGCATTACTTGCAGGAATTATTGTTTTTATCAATACAATTAATATGATAATGTTTCATATCAAATAACAATAATTCAGAGGAATACAGCATTTAATAATTAACGTTTAATTAATAATATGTAATTAATATTATATATAAAATTAAAATTTAAGTTGTTAATATCTCAATGAGAAAGTTCAAGTGTAAAAAATACAGTTTAGGATCGCTAAAATGGAATCGGCGAGCAGAGTTCAAGATCAGGCCGAGGCAGTTTGATTGCTTTTACCAACTAAAATGCAAAACGCTAGTGTTACACCAAGTATGGCTTTCATGGCTTCTGATCTTAATTGTCTGGCAGTGTTAACATGTAAATGCTTTGTTTTGATGAATTAAGATTAGTACAGGGAAATTGCTATCTGTCTTGCAAAGCCCCTCGAACTTCAATTCTTGCTCTTTCATACGCTCATAGAACATCACACAGTAACCCTCTACCTTGAGTGGCTCTTTGACCTTATGTTGGGTTAACATTACTATAAAAAATATAGTATCATGTTCAGTACAACAGTTGTTTGTCGTTCGTCTGACTATAACCAGCTGAGATGGAGACTCACTGCATATCTCTGTTCATGAGCGGGAGTTGTCGGGGAGCATCATGACCGGATGTCGGTAGGGTTGTTGAATTTCTTAAGTTTGAAGGACCGGGTCGGACAAGGTGACTTGGAATTCACATCCTGATACTTGGGAACAACCTGAGTGAGATGGGTTGCTCGATCTGAAGATATTTCTAACTACATCTTGTAAGGTTATACACTATTTTTTCAATACCACTCACTATATCGCGTACATTTGGCTATGATGTTTGTGCATAATATACTCTAATCAGATTTGGCGTCATGGTGGATATTTTGGGTTTCGTATAATGATGTGCGTGTCGTTCTAATAATATCATGGATAATATATATGAACAAAAAGGGAGTTTTAATGAAAACTGGAAATAGAAAGAAACTTATAATTACAATCAGAAAGCATTAGCGGAAATTTCTAGGATATATAGTGAGGAAAGAAGGATTAAAGAATCTACTATTCATAGGACATATTTAAGGCAGGAATAGAAGTGGGGAAACAGCGAGTAAATTATTTAAGGAGTTTGTCCTTATTCTGTTATCTATTAAAAGACAGATGGTAAAGTGGAAAAAGTTACTTAGGCCTACAAAAAAGAATAAGCTGTGGTCTTCCACGTCCAGAAAGGACATGGCACACAAAAGAAGAATTATTTTGGGGAAAGGCCTAAATCTGTTTCTTTTTTCCTTTAGTTATGGATTAAATGATTATGATTATGATCTCTAGCCTTGGTTGATGATCACTCTAGGAGAAGAATGCTAACATGTGCAAATGGTAACAGGAAGCCACTCTAAAATATTTCTAAAGAAAATTTGGACAATACAGAGTTTAGCAGATATTAAAAAGAAATAAAGCAGTGGAGAGCCATGATCACATACGCCCTGAATAGATATGGCACTTCAGAAGGAGGTCCATTGCAATGTATTCTGAGGATGGGTGTCTACTGTAGAACGATGGTATCCTCATTGACCATTCTTGATGTAGTAAGTGTGACCATCATTTTTAGATCAAATTCAGCATAGTGAATATCAGGGCGTCTGCTGTCGTGTGGTGGGAATAAGTTCATTTTGCAGACGAATTCGCTGGAACGGTGTATTTGGGTGCTTTGCTAGTCACTTAAGCTATGCAAGTAACATTGTCAGATTTTATTATGCAAGTCATTTTTCACAATGAAATGGGTTAATTACAATCAATGTTGGTCTGATAAAACTTTCAGAATATAATTATATGTTCTTATTATTCAACTTTTAAGTTTTTCATCATATTGTAAAAGAATATTTATAATAGTATAGTTATTGATACTTATGTTTTAATTTCATATATTTAAGTTTTAATTTCATATATATATATATATATATATATATATATATATATATATATGTGTGTGTGTGTGTGTGTGTGTGTGGACATTAAATTCAACAACGCCCAGCAGCGTCAGTCTGTTTCATGCTCAAACGCAATCGTCATGACCTGACGATTGCGTTTAAGCATGAATCAGAGTGACGCCGCTGGGTGTTGACTTCAATGTCCACTTTTATACTTACATAGGCTCTATCCTTGTCATTGAGTACTTTAATCCATAAATATTGCATACCTTAAAACTATATTTTTATCATGGCAGAAGTATTAAACAAGGCTGTAGACAGGGATCGGTACCTGATGATTGCATCAGTAGCATGAAACTCTGAGTCTTACTAGCCGCGTGGGGTATTATGTATCTTCACTCATATATATATATATATATATATATATATATATATATATATATATATATGTTTTCATGAGTCATAAGAAAGACATAACCTCGAATAGAGTCGAGATATTGTAAAGTAATTGAGTAATGGGAACAAAACGTTGGTAATTACAAAAAGGTTGAACAGAGATAATATGATAATAAAAAAAAATTGAAAATACCTGTAAGATAAGAACAAAAAACTGTCTTTAAGAAAGTCACAAAAAGAGATATGATAAAAATGAAAAAGTGTAATAATCAAGGAAAGTAATCTGAGCAGCAACAAATATTTGAAGTAGGTGTTGTTGCAAATATAAACAAATGAAAGATACAGAATATTAATAATGTAGGCTAAAGACATGAAAGCAAACAAACTATCACCATCAAGCATTACAACAAAAACCTAGTCGAGCCAAGAAGTATATGAAAAAGGATTTCTCAAGAGTAGTTTTTAGTGATGAATGTAGAGCTACATTGGATAGACACGATAGCAGAGGTTTGATATTTAAAGAAATAGCCAAAAAATAGGGACAGGTAGAGTAATGTCTTAGGCTAGTTGTGTAGGCGGTACAGTTATAAGTCCTTTCAAAATTGATCAAGTTATCAAGATATATGTTGTGAGTAATTTTAAGTGCTTGAACAGGGCATTTTCTTTTCTTTTTTGAGTCATAGAAATCATCTTGAGTTTTATGCTAAAAATATATTCACGCAAGACCATGCGCCTACACTTTATGACGATTTATCGCCTTAAATGACTCTTAACTTCTCCAGATAATAATCCAGTAGCATACTTGTGGTCTATTATCATATGAGAATGGAAAACAATAAGATATTTCGGAAACAATAAAAACTGCTCAAAATAATGCTTCAAAGTCAACAAAATCAATACGTGAAAACTGAAGGTTATAAAATGTCAAAAGAAGAAGCCATATTAATATGTAAAATAATAAATTAATTTGTTCAGGTATATCGTGTGAATCAAATTTCTGTATCCAGTATCTTTTAGTTTTTTTTATGATTAAACATTTATTTTACAATTAATTTACTTGCCTAATAAAACCTGACAGATCCTAAACCCGTTATTATCAATAGTATCAATGAGGACAGATATTATAAGCTGAAAGACAATATATGTTACTCGTATATATATATATATACTGAAAATGTTACCATCATCTTGTGATTGAAACAAAGATTATTTTGAAAACATTGACTTTTGTAATAAAATCTAGAGTAGTGTAATTGTGAATTATAGATAGCAGTTGTCTATTCTCTCCAGGTCGATGTTCAAGATCTGCTTAAATGTCTAATCCTTAAATGCTAATGTTTCAATGCATATAGCAAAAGGCATCCTTTAAAAGTTCAAGGTAATTTTCGTACTAAGTATTCACCTCACCATCCTTGTGCCAGATAAAGTTCAGATTACTTATTGTCAAATTCTTTGACGATTCATTTATTCCTCTGTTAGTACCGTTTTTTTCTCTTAATATTTAGCAAGTAGCATATTGTATGCATTTCTGGGGTAGACAGTTCTTGTCCAGCTATGTCTAAAGATATATCGTCGTATTCTGTTTTTTTTTTTTTAAGTTCAGTTCTGTTATTGCTAGTCCTTTTTCCACTGAGTTGTAATTTGTCCTACTCTTCCTAGGGAGTAAATAAAGGGTGAAGCTTACTCAGATCTCCAGTCACCTTAGGCGATCCGGTCGGCGCAACGGTCAAAACGTTGTGGTAGCAACAAAGATGAAATGAAGACATTAATCCGACTGTAAAAAATATAATGACAACTCCTTATTTCGGAAATTTATACAGAAATTTATTCTGAATTAAACTTAACCCGGGACAGGTATTCTTGGGAGATAAATTGGCATAATGATGTGTAATGGTTAGAAACTCGGATTGAGAAATCAGAGAGAAGAGTTCGAATTCAGGTCATGGTTGTTACATTCATTTTCGCACAAATACCCTTGGGAAAAGTATAAACACATCTCTTTTTCCCTCTATAGGTTAAATAGTAGGACAGACTGGATTCTCTAGTTGTTTGCAATCAGTATAGGAGAAGGGCTACTCTAAATTAGAGACCATATGTGGCCTCGTGAGATACTTGAACTACAACTAAAGTCCGCTGAGCATAGTTGCAATATAAACCATAGGGTGGTTCTGGGAATGTTGTGTAAGAAGGCAAGTTTAAAATAAGAAATCACAATTTGTGGTGTGTTTTTAAGGCTAAAAGGCTCGGACAATGAGTGGCGTAAAAGGCACTATTCAAAAAGCAAAAGACAACTGTAATTAATATTAGATTACATTACGAATAAAAATACTATTCATGATTACGGTAGTAATTTCCATTTTGATTGCATGATAGTTATTTTCATTGACGTAATGATGACTACAGCCGATTTAATTAAGATTCTCTGCTGTTCATCGAGAAAATTCCTGCAAGCCAAGACAGACGTTTGTGTTGATTTACTTAGAAAAGAAATGTTTCTTCAGATTCAATTTACTTCATGCCAATCAATGACTTGTCATGGTGGAAACCGACGAGCAAATGGACTGCTTTGATTTATGGTCACACTTATTGCTGTATATTTTGATTATTGTCGACCATTTTGGAAAAGTACTTCAAAGCAACATGTACAAATTATTATAATTATTGGCACGAAACTGGTGTCTTGTTTACTTTCAGTTCGATTTTAATTACCTAATTTACTTAAGAATTAATTTTAAGACATTTATTTTTAAAACAATATAAAAGTAATTTTACCTATTTATATTATTTACTCTCGGACTATTGTCTACATATTTATTGCTCTTCTCACAACATTTTAGCCGTTGCGTCTTCCGGCCTTCATCAGATACTTATCGCTTCGGTGAAACTTTTATTTAATCAACGGGATAGATTGTTTTTGCTCCTCTGACCATGTCTATGGATATCTCATCATTTTTTTATTAGCACATCTTAGTTATCGCTTGCTCTGTTTCCACTGAGTCTATGTATGCACAGGTCGAAGGTTACTATGTCACCAATTTCACGAACAAAAGCTTTACTCCACTCTAAAGTCAATCGTTCGAAATGTATTTTTGTGCAAATTCAGAAATCTTATTTTAGGACAATTTGATTTCAAGGAGGAATTATATATATATATTTTAAATCTCAAATCGAATTGGATGAATGACATTCGCTAAAGGGCTTACGGCCATATCACGGAATCTACCGGTTCTCGTATGATCAGCGAAGTTAAGCAACGTCAAGTCTGGTCAGTACCTAGATGGGTGACCGCTTCGGAATACCAGGTGCTGGAAGCTTAGATGTGCGCATAGTGTTATGGATAATGGCTTGGAATTGTTAATCGGAGAACCAAGTACCAATTCCAGTTGGGTACATTATATTTGTTATATTCACATATGCAAATATCCTTTGAAAGGTATGAATGCATCTGTCTCCCGACAGCTATGGATTAATTAATAAAACTTGTATCACTAAATCATTATTATCTCAAAAAATTCTTACATTCTAAAAGTACTTTTGCTTTAAAGGGTTGATAAGCCGTAGAAAACGAGGCAATCATTAGCTACAATTTACTATATTGACCAAAGATATACTCTAAAGAAAATCTTTAAAAATTAGGTAATCATCACTAGATTTAAATTCAGCTCTACTACCGTTTGACATCAACGATGCATAAATTTATTAACGACACCACTGGGGATCAAAGCTAATCTAGATATCAACAATAAGTTTTTGCTAGGTTACTCTACTAGTACTTATTTTAATTCTGAGAGTTTTGACGCTTGTAGTGCTAAGCCTGTGAGGCCAATTACCTCATACACCGAAATAGAAAAAAAACTCTCTTGTAATATATATTCATATAAAACACTTTAGGTTAATTTTATATAATAGAAGAAGACCTTAAAGACACAGAGAGAGAAAGAGAGAGAGAGAAAGAGAGAGGTAACGTTCATTACTGTGTCTTGAGAATCGATAACGCTTACGATTTATTAGTTGGTTGATTTTGTTTAGCTGCATATCAACCTCCATGGTTTATTTAGTGCCAAAATCTAAATATTTTGTACGTAATTTTATGCTTCCAACTACAGATATTTTGTACATACATTTACTCTGACAGTATAAAATTATTTGTTTTAGATATAGATTTTCGATATATTTTTAGGTCATAAAATGTATTGTTGGTACTTTTATTATAAAAAAAATGTACTCTTGAGTTTTGCTTGGGGGTTCACTATTTGCCCATAGATGAGACCCTAATATGAGCTACCACCCCAGGTCAGGGTGAATCTGGGAACAACAGCAATTAAGAGGTGGTTCACGCTCTTTAATACCTCCAATTTCCTAATCAGAGGCTCTACTGCCGGATGTAGTTTATCGTCATACCCAGGACGAACACCTTATTAGAATAGGCTCTTTAACAAAAAAGGAAATCTCAGTTTAGATCCAAGGCAGGAGCCTTTTAGGTGGCTCCCAATTCGTTAAATGATCTATACCGACTTGGTTTAAATAAAATAACACTCACATTCTTGCATTATTATAGCATTGTTGCCTGGCTTTCGAAAAAATAGAAAATTGCTATTTCCTGGAAATACATGATGCAATGAAAAAATTGTCGTCAAAATTATGCAAAAATGAAAACACTGACATCTAATTGTAACATATATTTCTCAAAATTACACATATATCTTGAAATACTAAAGAGTAAATTTGTTCAATAAAATCGCCATTGGCTCCAACCACAGCGTCCAGACGACTTCGGAATCTCCTGTAACTCTTCTGAACGGTCTCCTTGTTTAAGTTGATGAGTGCTGCCATAATCCTTATCTTCAGTTCTTCTTTGGTGTTACAAGTAGTTTTGTGGTCTCTCAACCCACTACGCCCCACAGATAATCAAGAGAGTTGCAATCTGGGGAGATAGGCGATCAGATGTAAGGGGTGATGTGGTTGGAGAAATAGTCTGACAGCCATGGCTGGGTTCTCCTTACGCGTGTGGCATGGTGAAGAGTCCTGTTGAATATATAGAGTCTTCCAGAAGCCACCCTCTTGACCCAGGGCAGTACTACCTCCTCAAGGCACTTAATGTAGGCTTCCGTATTGAGTCTGAAGCTCCGTGGAAAGATGAATGGAGGCATAACGTCGCCATCACTAGTGATCACCATTAGACTCATCCAAATCTCTCCGAATCGTTTGCGCAATCCTGAGATTGACACCAAACGCTCTGAAATCTTTTTTGGAGCTTCCAGCACGAATGTCAAGCAGTACAGCATGTTGTTCCCAAATTTCTGGCGGAGTGAATTGCGTAATGGTGCTGTTTTTTTTTCTTTTTCACAGACGGTGCCTAACTGGCTCTATTATACTGTGCAGTCGATAAAAGAAAAAGCAAGCAACGTGCATGCGCAAAATTAAAATTATAAAATGGCGACAAATTACCCTGTTAATAATTATAAAAAAAATTCTCATAGAATCCGCCATGTTGGTTTTAACGGATATTTTTTAATACCGACTAAGCTAAACGACATCTTCTTCCCCTAGGTATCGTGTACCTTCAGGGTGTAGTCAATCTTGGCTCTCCACAACATCCTGTCTTTTTTATCTCTTAATAAATTTTAACTTTTTGTTATCTCTCCCAAACCTTGTTCCACCATTGATTTACTCAAGCTCACTAAGTAGGCTATAAAGTTGTTTTCCTCTGTCGCTCTTGCCTTTTATAAACTATATATTGTTTCAGATTATCTAGTCCCTCTTTCCTCATTATATTCCCTAGAAATTTCAACCGTCTCTTCCAGATGTCAAATGTTAAAGTTTTCTTTTTGCTTCCATTTTTTATAAAACTTCGTTGTTGATCACATGTTCGGTTTATAGTATCCTCAGCAACCGTCTGTAGAAGAATACCAACACAATAAAAATGCGTCACAAAACAGATTTTATTGTACGTTACTATATTTCTACGCTGGTTTGGAACTTCCAATCCTTCGTAGCTCTTCAGGTGTCTGGTGTTGACCGATGGTTAGCAAGATAATCTAGCAGGTTTTTTCCTTATTTCAAACCTAACTAAGTGTCTCACGACTAGAGCTCTCTGTGAGATTAATCTGAACTGAATACATATTTACTTTAGCCGCTTGTCGTATGTTGACTGCTCGCAAGCTCATCTCGTAGGCTATTTTAAGCGTATTACATTCTATTATCAGTTAGCTGTCCCCTTTACAGCTGTTCCAAGCAATAAGGTATCCCATTCTATGTGGAAGAGCAGGTGCCGTAGCAGTTATGGGCGCGGGTGGTGGACTTCAAATTCCATGCTCATCTGTTGCTTTCATTTTTGTAGTAATGTCTTTGCTATTAAAATAAATGGCAAAGAAATTACGACCATGGGTGAAAGAAAATAGTAGGGTAAATTGGGTTATCTAGCCTCGGTTGTTAGCCAATATAAAAAAATGACAACTGTGAATTCAAAACTGTGGAGAAGGCATTGGGAAACCGCTTCCCTATTTTTCCCAAGAAGTCATTGCAATACGTAGATAATAAAGAAAAATGAGTCTGTGGAAAGACATGATTGTCGTCACCCTGAAGAGACAGGGCATTAAAAGAATTTTTTTTTTGTAATTCGGTTTAAATCGATCATTTTTAATCACCGATATCTTTTACAACATTTTCACGGTCAATCCTTGTAATTACAAAACACATTTTAATCTGGCAGATGGTCTCAAAAGTTGTGCGTCAGTAGAAAACAATCGCCACCATATTCTTTAAATTGCATTGTGTAGTACGATTTACTAAACTTACCTTAGTATATCACAAACCGCACCGAAATATTGTATTGCGCTAATCTACCTAATTGAGGAAAACACGCTTGTCTTAAATATCAACCGAAATCTTATCACCGATTTTTAGTACCTGTTTCAAAATACATATTTTAACCAATTTCAACCTCCTTTTATGTACCATGTCTCTTCAGGACGTGGGCGATTATGGCCCTCCACAATTTACTTTCTTTTGTAGATCTTTTTGTCTTTTTGCTATTCCTTCTAATCCATGTTCTGCCATCCATTTACACAAACTCGTTAGGTAGGTTATTCGCGGCTTTCCTCTGTCCATCTTGACTCCAAAATCCTGCGACGGGAAAATTCTCCAAGATCTCTTTCCTCATTATATACCCTAGATATTTCAACTGTCTTTTTCTAAGAAATTATAAGTGGAAGTGTCGTTTTGGTTGCCATTAAAGCTTTCTTAGAGCTTTCTCGTTACTCACATGGTATTCTCAGAGTCCCTTTGTAGAACCACATTTCAACTACGAAACCGTTCCACATAAAGGACAACACCAATTTTATCATACAGAACTGCCATTAGGTGACACCTGTCATAGTGGATGTTTCCCGTGTCTCGCCTAAAGTTTCACATATCCGGAAATCAATCCACCAGGAAATAAAGAATCTCATTTTCTAGCTTTGTGGAAGCCATTTCGTGCTTTCAGTTTCTCGAATTTTTCAATGGAACTTCGTATGAGACACTTGCAAGCTTGAAACTTGAATTATTCTTTTTACGGCTTATCCAACTTTTGAAGGTTATTTAAAGCCAGAAAATATTTTTAGATTGTAAAATAGTTTTTCATGATAATGATTTACGGATACATATCCTACTAATTAACCCATAGCTAGGTAAAAAGAGGTGGTATTTGCGCTTAAGAGAATATAATATTCCCGACTGGAATTGGAACTCGGCTCTCCGATTTCCAATTCGAGCTGTTATCTATTACACTTCCAGCACATCCAAGCTTACAGCACCTGGTATTGTTAAGAGGCTATCCATTTAGGTACTGAACAGACTTGATGTTTGTTAACCTCAGTGATCGTATTTCAACGTGATATGACTGTAAGCCGCTTAAGAATTGAATTCTTAATAGGTGATCTACCCTTCTGACCTTGCGCCGGATTAAGCTAATCATATTAGATATCTGTACTGAGTTCTTATTCTAGAGTGATGCAAAACATTGAAAGTATCTTCGAATTCATTGTGTTATCTTCGAACTAAGCTTCATAAAGATCTATATCAAACGACGTTTGAGTGAATATAAACTCGTCAGTACATTTTTAGTGTGGCGACTTCAGTACTCATTGTATTCTCTGTTACTGTGGCTTTATACCAGAGTAAGCTAAGCTTCGTAAATATCTCCACTACTGTAACTGAACTAACGCAAGAAACAAAGGATTTTAAAATGTTATTTAAAAAGTACGCTCTCTGATTTACACGTTAGTCTCACAAGCTATTGTCCGGGGGTTTGTTTTTCATTAGGTGTTCC